TTGGCTCACTGCAACCTCCACCTCCCGGGTTTAAGTGATTCTCCTGCCTCAGCCTCCCGAGTAGCTGGGATTACAGGAATGCGCCACCATGCCCGGCTAGTTTTGTATTTTTAGTAGAGACGAGGCTTCTCCATGTTGGTCAGGCTGGTCTCGAACTCCTGACCTCAGGTGATCTGCCCGCCTTAGCTTCCCAAAGTGCTGGGATTACAGGCGTGAGCCACCTCGCCTGGCCCATTTTTAAGTGTACAGCTCAGTAGTGTTAGGTATATTCACATTCTTGTGCAACCAATTTTTAGAACTTTTCCATCTCGTAAAACCGAAACTCTATACCCATTAAACAACTCCTCATTCCGCATCAACCCTCTCCCCAGCCCCTAGCAATGATTATTTTTTTCTGTTTCTATAATTTTGACTACTCTAGATACCTCGTATAAGTGGAATTGTACAGTATTTGTCATTTTGTGATTGGCTTATTAACTTAGCACAATGTCCTTAGGGTTCATCCATGTTGTACTATGTGTCAGAATCTCCTTCCTTTTCAAGGCTGAATGATATTCCCTTGTGAGTATATACCACAATTTGCTTATCCGTTCATTTGTCAATGGATATTCGGTTGCTTCTAACTTTTGGTGTTATGAATAACGTTACTAGGAACATGGATGTACAAATAGCTCTTTGAGCCCCTGCTTTCAATTCTTTTAGGTACATACCTAGAAACAGAATCATATGGTATTTTTAATTTTTTGAGAAATGGCCATACCATTTTCCATAGCAGCTGTGCAATTTTTTGTAATAGAGATGGGGTCTTGCTATGTTGCCCAGGTTGATCTTGAACTCCTGGGCTCAAGCAATCCTCCTGCTTCAGCCTCCTAAAGTGCTGGAATTACAGGTGTGAGTCACTGTGCCTGGCCCACAACTTTACATTCTCACCCACAGTGCACCAGGATTCTACTTTCTCCATATCCTTACCTACACTTGTTATTTTCTGTTTTATTAATAGTAGCCATCCTTATGGATATGAGGTGGTATCTTATTGTGGCTTTCATTTGCATTTCCCTATGACTAATGATGTTGAGCATCTTTTCACACGCTGTGGGTCATTTGGGTATCTTCTTTGGAGAAATGTCTATTTAAATCTTTTGCCCATTTTTAAATAGGGGTGTTTTTTTTTTGTTTATTGTTTCTGCTTAAATCTTTTCTTTGCAATCAGTGAATCAAATCCTCACTCTCTTATCTTTAATATTCTGTCACCAAGAAGTGTCGAGAGTGATGCTCTCCTACTTAGAAACACTTAGCAATAGAATGAATGGTATTCTCCAGAAACCTTTAAGTTGGAAAGGCGGCATTTTATTACAAACCTCAGATTACTAATGCTGCCCAGCTCGCCAAGAAGTTCGATATGTATGAAGTCTTACATAAAGAGATATTATTTATATTCTCCATCTCATTCATGTCAGTTCAACAACATTGACAAAATGTCTACTACATAGCAGGCATCATGCCAAAGATACATTAGAGTTCAAGGAAAATAGACACAAAATATTTTAACTTTTTTTTTTTTGACAAGGTCTCTTGCTCTGTCGCCCAGGCTGGAGTGCAGTGGGACAGTACCAGCTGACTGCAACCTCGGCCTCCTGGGTTCATGTGATTCTCATGCCTCAGCCTCCTGAGTAGCTGGGATTACATGCATGTGTGACCATGCCTGGCTAATAGTTTTGTTTTTTTTAGTAGAATTGGGGTTCACCATGTTGGCCAGGCTGGTCTCGAACTCCCGACCTCCAGTGATTAGCCCACCTCAGCCTCCCAACGTGCTGGGATTACAGGCATGAGCCACTTTGCCCGGCCTATTTTAACTCCTTTGACCCAACCCATAAACTAGACTCTGGCCCACTAGTTTTGGAAATACATATATATTCTTGAATGAGGAGTTAAAAGCTCCAGAGCACTTCTGATCTTTCCTGCCAGGTGTGCCCCTTGTGAAGGAGAAAGTATGAATCCTTAGGTAAGCTTGATCTTGGGGTTGGGCCTCTCACCCTACCCAGGTGAAAAGCACACTCCATCTGAAAAATCTAGAATTTAAAAAAAAAAGAAATTCTTGGTAAGGCTTTGGAGAGACTTCCCTACACAAGGCTATCAATTCTGCTTTTAAATAGGCTATAGTTCATTCAGAAAAAACCTTCTGGTTGCAACTTGTTAAATCATATACAAAAATCTCAACAAGTTTTAAAAATATGAAGAGCAAGCCACGGAATTTTCTTCATTGGTACACATATTTGCCAGACAATCAGAGTCTCCTATCTATACATACTCTCCATATATTTTTGGGTCCTAAGTCTGTGCATAAACCAAAACTCCCAAGAAGTTATTGTATCCGAAATTATTCTTAATATCTGGAGCCTGCATTAGGAACAATGTATATTTCCATAGGCTAAGGAGACGGTATGCTAGGCTCTTGGCCTCACAGTGTTCCTACTGGAAAGGTCCCTGAAGATTACCTAGTCAAATCACCCTGGTGTAACACAAGGAGACCGAGACCCAGAAAGGGGATTGTTTCGCCAGTGGCATAGGCACCAGGTGTTCAGATTCTACATACGGCTCATTCTATGCCCTAGTTCCTTTTCCCCAGAAAGCTTTTTCTGTGATGCTTCTTGATGCTATATTTTCCTATTTATTGCTGAAAATCCTTGTAATATATACGTGAGTGCCTTAAATAAAAGGCTCTGTGTTAATAAGATTCTAGAACTCAAGCCAAGAAAAACTGTTGCTAGAACAAGGACCAGACAGCCAACTTCTAGAGAAAGTGCTTCCAGATGCCTCTGAATGACTCTTCAGATTTGAGAACGAAGGCCTTTCTAGAGAAGGAAAACCTTTAAACTCCTTCTTAGTCTGAGCCTGGTCAGGCCCCCTGTCTAAAATTCCCCCCAAATGTGTGGGGTACTTTGTTTTGTATTAAACAGGATTAAGTTACACTAAGGTGCTTTGGATTAAGGCCTTGACATCAACCCAAACACATCTAGGTGCATAGAATAACCAAAAAGTGACTTTCACACAGAATTTAAGGTCAAAGTTTAGGCAGAAGTGACTGATAAGAATAAAAGCCTAAATAACCCCCAGGAGAAGAGTGAAGCCCAGGCACACCCCGGAATCGTGACACTTACTGCCACCGTACATCTGGAGGTACTGGATGACTAACAGTACAGTCTATTTTTTTCAGGAAGGTTATAAAAATCTATGGGCTTCACACTGCGTGTAATGTGGGTGAGGTAACAAGCTGGCGAGAATTTTTGCTTCTGCATTTCCTGACTTAGGAAAGAGGAGTGGTAGGGGTGTAAAAGGTGTATTATACCTATTACTGAATTTGTACGTATTTGGTCCAATATTGGTTGCTTGAGCGAAAGTTACTCTCCTACACTGAACATGGAACCCCTTCCAAATCTTGTTCAGGTCCTCAAAGAATCAATGAAACCATTTTCCCTTTCTGATAAATCCGGTTGTGTTGTATCTAGTTGTGTGGATCCATAAATTAAAATACAGAGGGTCATTTTCTCTGATCCAAAAATTCTTGGTTTGGGGGTAGTTAAAATGAAACTTCTGAAATTCTATCCTTAGTACGGACATTGAGGACCCAGGGGCTACATCCTAGAATGTAATTGTGCCCTCTTTCCATAAAACAGTTGACAAACCAACAGACACGACTGGATTGTCTTCAACCAAGTTCAACTGTCATTCCATTTTAATCAAAAAGTAAACCGGATTCAGCATATACGAATATATTGACTATCAGTACAACTGAGCCATGCAACTGATAGTCTAAGGCTGATGACAAGGAGAAAGCTCCTAAAACAAGGTTTAGGGAAGGCTGTTCCCCTCTAAGCAAAGTGGGCTGAGGGTATTGGTAGTGCAACAGCCTGCAGAAGTAGAGGGAAGTTTTGATATATCAAGTACCGAGGGGAACACACACAGCATGTCTGGAAACCATCAGAAGATGCTAGAAGGAAGTACAGATAATTCTAGAAATTTCTAGAACACCGACTGGAGGGGGTCATTGTTTAAGATGAGTAAAGGCCAGTTTCTCTACAATTTAAGACACGAGACTGGAGAGAAAGGAGTCGTAGGAAACAGCTCCAACCGGGGGAGCAGGGGTGTGATAATGAGATGTGTTAAAGGGCATTAGGGACAGCAAGAATAGGACAGTTGGGGTGATGATTATTGAGCACTGCTATAGGAGGAGGCTCTCGCAGGGATAATCAAGGGAGAGGGGTGTGAAGTAAGGGTCAGGGATGTAGGGGTAAACTGTGGGAAGGGGTTGTGCAGACTTCTACAGCAAAGAAAAAGAAGGAACGGGGCTGGGGCGTGGCTCAGAGAGGGAACGGCTCAATAACGGGCTGCGGGGTGAAAAGCAGCCGGGTGGGGAGGCGCTCGGCTGACAGCTGCTGCTCCCGCACGGCGCCCACAGGGTTAAAAACCAGGGGCCACGGGACCAGGCCGAACTCGGTTTCCAGGGCAACGGCTCCACAGTTCCGGCAGCGCAGGCCCGTACCATTGCGCGGGCGCGGGGGAGCGGGAGCGGCGGAGGGGACGCGCTGCAGGGCGGCGGAGCCGGAGCCGGCTCGGGCGCTACCAAACGCGCGGCCCGCCTGCTCGCCCGGGGTCTGCGCCGAGCCGCGCTCCGGCCGGACGGCCGCGGCGTCCTCGGTGCGGGGGCCGGCAGCTCCCAAGTGGCCGCGGACGGCGGGGGAGAAGGAACGCGCGCCGCCAGCCGGGATTGGCCTCCTGGTCCCCCCGCCTGCGCGGCGGAGTGCGGGCGGCCCGGGGCTGGGAGGTTTGAAAAGCGGGCGAGAGACAAAGGCAGCAGGAAGCCTCCTCCGCGCCCGGAGCCCGTGCGCCCGGCCCCCGGGGCCCCCTCGCCGCCCGCCGGCCCGCGGAGCAGCGGCGGCGGCAGGAGGCGGAGGATGCGGCAGGGGGCGTGGGCGCGGCGGCGCGGGCGGAGCGGCGCGGCCCGGGCGCGGCGTGGGTAGAGCCGAGGCGGCGGCGGCCGGCCTCCGGGAGCGAGAGCGAGGCGCCTTCCCCGCCCGGGATGTGAGCGCCGCGCGGAGCCCGGGGCGGGGGAGGGCCGGGCCGGAGGCGCAGCCGGCAGGAAGGAAGGACGGACGGACCAGGAGGAGGAGCGGCGGCGGCGGCCGGAGCCGGAAGGCGGGGAGGGGCCGGCCGTTGGGCCGGAGGCGGCGGCAGTAGCCGCGGCGGCTGGGGAGAAGCGCTCTCGTCGCCTGCCCGAGTCCGGAGCGGCGGGGCCCGCGCCTCCTCCCCCCAGCGCCGCGGAGGGGGGAGGAGGAAGATGGAGACCCACATCTCATGCCTGTTCCCGGAGCTGCTGGCCATGATCTTCGGCTACCTGGACGTCCGGGACAAGGGGCGCGCGGCGCAGGTGTGCACGGCCTGGCGGGACGCCGCCTACCACAAGTCGGTGTGGCGGGGGGTGGAGGCCAAGCTGCACCTGCGCCGGGCCAACCCGTCGCTGTTCCCCAGCCTGCAGGCCCGGGGCATCCGCCGCGTGCAGATCCTGAGCCTCCGCCGCAGCCTCAGCTACGTGATCCAGGGCATGGCCAACATCGAGAGCCTCAACCTCAGCGGCTGCTACAACCTCACCGACAACGGGCTGGGCCACGCGTTTGTGCAGGAGATCGGCTCCCTGCGCGCTCTCAACCTGAGCCTCTGCAAGCAGATCACTGACAGCAGCCTGGGCCGCATAGCCCAGTATCTGAAGGGCCTGGAGGTGCTGGAGCTGGGGGGTTGCAGCAACATCACCAACACTGGCCTTTTGCTCATCGCCTGGGGTCTGCAGCGCCTCAAGAGCCTTAACCTCCGCAGCTGCCGCCACCTCTCGGATGTTGGCATCGGGCACCTGGCCGGCATGACGCGCAGCGCTGCGGAGGGCTGCCTGGGCCTGGAGCAGCTCACGCTACAGGACTGCCAGAAGCTCACAGATCTTTCTCTAAAGCACATCTCCCGAGGGCTGACGGGCCTGAGGCTCCTCAACCTCAGCTTCTGTGGGGGCATCTCGGACGCTGGCCTCCTGCACCTGTCGCACATGGGCAGCCTGCGCAGCCTCAACCTGCGCTCCTGTGACAACATCAGTGACACGGGCATCATGCATCTGGCCATGGGCAGCCTGCGCCTCTCGGGGCTGGATGTGTCGTTCTGTGACAAGGTGGGAGACCAGAGTCTGGCTTACATAGCCCAAGGGCTGGATGGCCTCAAGTCTCTCTCTCTCTGCTCCTGCCACATCAGTGATGATGGCATCAACCGCATGGTGCGGCAGATGCACGGGCTGCGCACGCTCAACATTGGACAGTGTGTGCGCATCACGGACAAGGGCCTGGAGCTGATCGCTGAGCACCTGAGCCAGCTCACCGGCATAGACCTGTACGGCTGCACCCGAATCACCAAGCGCGGCCTGGAGCGCATCACGCAGCTGCCCTGCCTCAAGGTACTCAACCTGGGACTCTGGCAGATGACGGACAGTGAGAAGGTCAGGTGAGGGCGGCAGCACCAGCTCCCCTTGTCCCGCCCTGTTCATCCTCCCATCACCACCGCCCCCGCACACTCACACGCACACTTATGCACAGATCATTGCAGCGGATGAGATGGGGCTGTGACAGAAGCCTCAGGCTCGTTTTCTCCTCCCTCCTCCAGCCCCCTCCCGGCTTCCAGCCCATTCTCTTTGCAGCTGGGGTTCCTACCCTACCCTACTCCCAGCTCCTTTTCCCCGCGGATGGAGAATGGACTCGGCTGCTTACCCACCCACTCCCCTGCGGGGGGGTGGAGGACTGATTCAGCTACTGTACTCCCACTGCTGTGACTGGAAATGGGGGTGGGGAGTGACTGTCTTTTCAACCCTGGGGAGTTGAGGAAAATGTCTGCCTTCACTTCAGCTTTCATTTGAATACTGTGATCTGGTTTTTATTTTCAAATGTATAAAAAGCAAACCCAGCTACAAAGGCCTTTTCACCCTTCTTCCACTTCGTAACTAATCCCAGTCTCTTCTCATCACTCCTCCTCTTACAGTACTCTGCTATTCACGCTCATTTCATTTTCTTCTTTCCTTTTTAAAATTGTTTTTTTGGAAAAAATTTGAAATCATGGTCCTTTTTTTCTGCTGAATATATTCTATATATTCTATATATATAAATTATATATATATACATATATATGTCTGGCTACCTCGTTTTAGTTTACTTTTTTTCTGAAGCCCTGGAATTCTACGAGAGAGATATTTTGAGACTGAAACATGTTTGTGCCTAGACTGGAAAGATGCCCTTGGGTTTGTCCGTCTTTTTGTGTTGGCTTCTTCCCAGCCTCCATCCGTCCAGTGTGCCCCACTTCCACATTCTGGCTATAATTTCCTTTTTCTCCTTGTTCATTGGGATTTGAGGACCTGTTTCTAAATCTTGACTTAATTTATAGCACAAATATGTGGGAGCAATGAGAGTTGAACCGTTGTTTTTGTTTGAGATGCAGACTGTGTCTTGAAAATGATGATTATATATGCAAATTCTGCCCTACCCTCACCCTCTTCCAAGTTTCCCCCAAAAAAGGTCACACAGTGCGGCTTCCTGTGGGAAACAGGAGCAAAGCTGGCCTGCAGAGCCCCCGGGGCTGTGATGAAGCTCATGTCTTATCTCTGTTCTATTAACAAAATGGGAGTTTGTGGGTTTTAAAAAAATTCTGTTTCTAAATGGAGGAATAGATGACTTTCTTTATTTTGGTGGGGGTTGGGACTTGTGGCTTTAAAGAAATCACTTTTGAGTAGGATGTATATTTTTGTTGGATTTTTGTTGTTTATTTTTTTAGAATCCTCCACAGCAACATGCGAGACCATGGAGTTAAAGAAACCCAGAGACCTTTATCAATTAATTGTACTGTTTGTGAATTTGTATAAATAATAACAAAGATCCTCTTAAAACGTTTATATTCTTACAGTAAAAGGTTAAACTGATATTTATATAATAAAAGAGGAAATATGAAGTATGTTTTTGAAAAAAAAAAAAAAACAACAGCCTTGTATCTGCGAATTATTTTTAAGGCATTGTGTGCTTGGGTACATGCCAAGGTAGGAGGTGCTGTTTGTATACTCTGAGGACGCAAGGTGGAGTTTGGTGCATCCTATGTGGGGGTGAGTCAGCTCGTGGGTGAAATTTTATTCTGTATAAGGTTTACTACTGACATGTTTTGTTTCTAGAAATGTGATTAGACTGGAGATTTACATAATTTTTGGCTTTAAACTGTCAACAACCTGGAAATTTAAAGAAATTGAACAAAATGAAACTTTTTAAAAAACCAGATTTGTATGTAAGTCACAGTTTCCCCGAGTGGCCAGTTTTTCTCTGGGTGAAAATGAGATCTAGGGGTGACGTTGAAAAGTGGATCACGATGTGGCCAAGAAAGATGGATTTCTTGACCCTGCGAGTGGGTGTGGGGAGGATGTGAAGGTGGAAGGACTGCAGCCATTGTTCAGAAAAGTTAAAAGAGCGCTGTCCTTGCGTGCTTGCCGGCTCAGTCATGCATGCTGAATCTCCCAGTGTGAGCGAGGGTCCCGGTGGAAAGGAGGAGGGCAGCTCAAGCCCTCTTTTTAACATTCCCCTCCAGGCCTGGCTGTAAGGAAGCACTTTCCTGGGGGATGGGGAGCTTGGCCAGGATTCTTGCACATTTGCATTTTAGCACTTCCAGCAGCCGAGGCTGGCCACTGGATCCACTCCGTCAAGGGTTTTTAGACTGAAATCGGGGCAGATTAATGAAATACCAACAATTCCAGCAAAGAGTTCCCTTTGGTAGACAATAACAAAATAATCTGGCACCCTGTGGTTTGACTGTGGAGACCTATGGGTATGAATGCGCCGACAGGGGAGTGGCTCATATTCCTGGTTTCACATTGGTCTTGGTTGTTTCTGAGATTGTTAAAAAAGTACTGATCTCAGCAAGAGCTGATAAGAGTAGTATAAAACTTTCCTGGATCAACCCCTCTTTCCAGGAAGAGGGCTGGAACCCAGGTTTCTCCGGGGATAAGATTGTTTTGTAAAACGTCCAAGCTTTCTGCCTGAGCATATCACAAGAGCCGCATTGTTCCTTTTTGGAGAGTCATCACAATTGGGTCTAATTGAGCCTGACACTAGATCCATCTTCTGTTTCTTTGGGGAAGGTGTGGATCTCTTTCTTCCCACTTAGGTTACAGTGCTTAATGCCTGGAAAAAAAAAAAATGTGTGAAGCCTATTAAGAAGTAGGAACTCTGAATTAGGGTCAGCTTTCTAATTTAGCATTTGACACAACTCCTGAAGGTTACATGGCTGTGGGTTCTTAGTCTGTTTTTCTTCCAAGAGACTGCATGGCTATACAGATTCAACTGATAAAAATTTGAGCACCCAAGTCTTAGGCTCTGTATTCACATTCTTCATTTTAATACGCAGAATATTCCTGCCACCTGTAACGTGAAGCATGTTCTTCTGTTTTGTCTCCTTTTTATGTTAAATGTCAAATATATGCTTGACTAAAGGTGGGCAAATTAATGTTTGAAAGTTAAGCCCATGGGTCTATCTATATCCTTATCCTGAACGAGGCATATTTAGTACAGCGGGAGCTTCTCTGGAAAAGATGGTGAGCCACCTAGAGTGGTTAGTGAAGGTCAACTGCTCATCTCGCAGCCTTTTTGGGTGGAAAGCAATTAATGTGTTGAGAACCTATGTGTGCTTTACAAGGTACTTGTAAGTTTTAATCTTCAAAGCAACCTGCTGAAACAGGTATTATCCCTGTTTTCCAGATAAGTCATAATTCCTGCCGTAAGTTACCCAACCAGTAAGTGAGGGAGCCAGGATTCAAATCTAGGCTCCATTTCTCCATTTCCCTTCCTTTTTTTTTTTTTTTTTTTTTTTGAGACAAGGTCTTGATCTGTTGCCCAGGCAGGAGTGCAGTGGTGCAAACACAACCCACTGCAGCCTTGACCTCCCAGGTTCAAGTGATCCTCCCACCTCAGCCTCCCAAGTAGCTGAGACTACAGGCATACACCACCATGGCTGGTTATCTTTTTTTTTTTTTTCTTTGTATTTTTTTTGTAGAAACAGGGTTTCACCATGTTGCCCAGGCTGGTCTCAAACTCCTGGGCTCAAGCAGTCTGCCCACCTCGGCCTCCCAAAGTCCTGGGATTACAGGCATGAGCCACTCTGCCTGGCCCGGGCTCCATCTAAAGTCCAGCTCCCTTTTGTTTGGTGAGAAGATTTAGTTACTCGTCATACCTTGGTTTCCCGTAAGATGACCCTCAGAAGTGAACGGTAGCTGTTTGAACACTGTATGAACAAGCTTATGCCATAGGGCATTACGTCAAAGGGAATAAGGGTGATTCTTGGTGGAATAAAAAGTTGATCCCCACCACACCTACAGGAATGGGAGAAATGCATTGAAGAATAGAAGAGCTAAAGGACATGAGTTGATAGGACACTACATGGTGGTACAAAAGTTAAAAGGCACTCCAGGGCAGTTCTTAGAATAACAGAAGAAAACTTGGTTCAGGTATTTGCTGAAACTTGAGAACTGAAAAAACATAATGTAAACTTGGTGTAAACCTTATCATCTAGAAGTAATAAACCTCAACAGAAACTGGGTAGTAGTCAAGGACCAACTTCATTTCCCTTCTTTTTCTAAGTGTCATCACGCATAGCCCTTCAATGTTCTTGCTGAAAAGATTATAAACCACCTGTGGGGCTCAGCCAATTTCTGCAGCTCCCAACCTAGGCCTTTAACTTGTCCAGCTTCACATTTACTAAAACTAAAAGCCAGCGCCAGTATATCCTAAAAATAAACTCAAACCGATCACGTTCTTTCGTGAGTCAGACGAACAACAAGGAGCTAAACAAGTAAACGTTCCTTTTTCTTTTGAAAGCTATGAACTTTCTCTGACATAAGGACATATGATATGTAAATTAAAGCATGGCGTAGCTCCCAAATCCTGCTGCTTTTCCTGAAGTGGTTACTAGATAGGTGCTGGTCTTAGAATATAAACAAAACCTTTCGCTTTTGACTTAGAGAATTCGCATTCAAGTTTTCAACGGGAAGGGGTAGTGGCCCCCAGGGACCACTGTGTTTCTAAAGAATAAGAACCTCTTGATTAAAAGATGAGATTTGTGAAACAAAACCAAGGCCTCATGCAGCTTCTGACAACTGTCTCTTCCCAGTTCTATGAAAGGGAAAGCCCCTGGCCTCTGATCTCTGCTGTGTTCTGCGGTAGAAAGGGAGGGACGATAGTAAGTCATCCAGTGGTTCCTTCTCTCTGTTCTCTTTCTCTTCCCTGCATCAAACATCACCCCTTTTAAAAGTTAATTCCATCCCTTTAGTAGAGGGCAAGACCTAAACTTTGTGCCATTATGAACCCCTGAGGAGTCAGAGGGGATGAGGCTTTTTGATGAAATAATGTGGATCATGAGTAAAGCACAGGATTAGAAATTAGAAAGCTGGGCCGGGCGCGGTGGCTCAAGCCTGTAATCCCAGC